GCAACATTTGTTAGCGATAATAAAGAGGGACAATAAAGAAATTCAGTAATTTAGTGTTAGGAGAATCAACAAAATAAAGATAAAACTCTGAATGCTTTTAAGTGAGGTATTTTATAAGAGACTCATTTTATCGACACTCACTTTCTCTTTTTCTCTCTGCCTTTCTTTATCGCCACTTCCTTATTATTATCAATGTCGCTTCATTGAAACTAGTACGTGGTAAGCTCGATCAGTCTGAATCTTCATCCCATTTGTTACTATAGTAAAATACCTGGAATACTGTATGAAGTAACATCAATTCCAAGATATTGAAGATATCCAGGAATGAATACAGAAGCAGAAACTGCATAAGTATTTTCAATTCTTAAAGCTTCAAAAACAACAAAAGGGCTAACAAAGAATCTAAATTCACCAATTCCAAAAGAATATTTTTGTTTGCTTAACCAGTCATAAACTTCAACCATTTCCTTTCCAATTTTGACTTGTTTGTTTGCAATTATTTCTTTAAAAATTGAAAATCTTTTTGGAGCGGCCCGTAAGTCAAATACTTCGAGGGTACGCTGGCCAAACCCCTTATGGCCAGCGTCCTAACAACTTCGGCGCCCTTGTAGGGCGCAACCTGCGTCAGCGCTAAAATTATATTCCCAATTGAAAGGGATTTTTAATTTCAGTATCTTTAATAGTTATTACCTTCATAAATTCCTGTAATAGATTTTGGATCAAATCTAAATTTATCAAAAGCTTCTTCAATTCCTTCATTTTCCACAACATTTTTATCCAATTTATTTTCACTTATCGGAACATTAATAATTAAATTGACATTCTTCGGGTTCACAGGATGTCCACCTACACTTCGAGTATAAACTACTACATCCTGTAAATGAAACAATAAAGCTAGAAATACTTAATAATATTTTTAAATAAATTATTATTTCCTTAAAATTATTATCATTCCTTCTTGAAATTATTATTTTCTTTTGGGATAAATAAGTGTTCTCCCAATTTAATTAGCCACAATTTCGGTTCCAAAACTGGGCGAAATATACAACCGTATAAGTTTAGGTGTGGAGTGTCCGAGTAAACTTGATTTGTTCATAAAAAGTGAAAAAAGTGAAAAAGGTGAAGAACCCTTTTGATTGTTAGGTATTTGAGAGATAATGTTTGTTTGATTTATTTAGACCGATTTTTAAAATAAAAATCAAAGTAAGAAAACCATTTCATATTCTTCAGATAAAATGTTGGCCAATATTTCCTGAAATCATAATGAATAATTTTAGGAACTTTAAAAATTTTATGTTCAGCAGAAACTTTTAGGAGTTTTGTCTCATTTACACATTATAACCTAAATTTAAAGTAGGGTCTGTAATAAATCTTTATCGGAACCTACATCCACTATTTAATTAATTAAAATAATAATTACATTAAACTTTATGTGTGAGTAGAAAAAGTTGTCACAAATATACAACCCCCTTTTCTTTTTCTTTTCCGTCAAATTTAATTTTTCAAAATTTTTATTCAAATTTTTTAGACTACTAGAACTTGCTTCTTCTTCACAATCATTTTTTGTATTTAAACCTCTTTTGTGTCTACGGAGGGAAATTTTAGAAATTTTATTTTCCTTCCCATTTTTCGAATATTTACAACTTTTGTTAGGTTGTGAAATATTCACAAAAATTAAAATAAAGATAATTAAGAGAATTAATTTATACATTTTCTCTAAAAAGAAAAAAATATTTTATTTTGGAATTTGCAAACAGAGATGTTTTGAAACAAAAAAATCTTCAAACTCGAAAACAATTTTAAAAATTGTTAAATAATTTCTTGTTTGTCGAGTATGTTAGCCCCCTTATTATTATAGGAATTAAAAAATAGAACTTGAAGAAAATATTTCAATAGGATTAAAGATAATTCGCATCATATGAAGGTTTGACGGACCCAGATATCCAGATCAGTAAAATGTCCAGTTTTTCATTTCAAATCCTAATAATGGCAAAAAATTCACCTAATCATGAAAAAATCCTCCTTATGTTTGAGATTTTAGAGACCAAGAAGCTAAATTCTTCTTTTTTGTAGCGCCAAAATTTAAGATTCATAAAAAAATTTACCAAACAATTACCTTAAAAAATCAGATTAAATTATTTAATTAAAATATGAATGAGTGTGGAAAGTTCATAATAGACATGACTTTAAATAGACAAAATCTGTTCATTTTGACATTGTTTTATATTTCACAATTTGTTGTTTTTATAAAGGTATATAAAGGTATAATAAATTTTTATGGCAGTTTTGCTTTATATTATTACCGCCTTATTTGTAAAATGATGAAAGTTCGAAATTATTCGATCTCTGATTGAAATATGTACACATTCGTCCCTTATAGACTTTGGGTAAATGCGAGTCGGAAAAGCTTGGTAATTAACCCAAGTTGCGCAAAAATAACACAAACTACAATTTATTTTTCACAAATCTACCACACGCTTACTTTTAAAAAATATTTTTTAAATTCTAAAAGGGCAAACTTTTAAAATTATTTTAAAAATTATTTTATTTATTTCTCAATATTTAGAAAAAATTCTTAATTCAATTGTCAAAGGCAATTTTTAAGATTATTCAATTCAAGTGGGTAAGGCCTAGTTTGGTTTTGTTTATAATTTTGAGTTGTGTTTAATTATGCAAAAAAAAATTTGAATTTATTTATCTCTACGTCCCTTTTAATTCAAAATCAGGTTTCTTCTTCTTATCCCCCAAATCCATTTAAAGACATGTTAATCCCACAAATACCCTCTTAATCACGGATAATCCCTCACTTCTAAGAATATTTTAAAACAAATTGATAAAATTTTATTGAAAAGTCCGGAAAAATCACGGATCCGGTCCGGAATCCGGGTAATTTCCGCCGGACTCCGGAAATTATTTTTACCGGACTAAAATCGGACAATTTTCAGACAGTTCTTCCAATATACATATCAGGGATGTCTCGGGTTGAGAAAAAAGTCGGGTCGGGTTTCGGGTCGGGTTTTCAAAATTTTCTTCGGATCGGGTTTCGGGTTTCGGGTCGAAAAAAAGTCCGGGTTTCGGGTCTCGGGTCGGGTTTCGGGTCGGGTCAGTTAAAAATTTGAACATGAAGCCAAATTTTTCGGAGAGGCTGGGGATATTAGTGATTTGCGGTATTAATAAGATAATATATGAGTGTGATATGATAAGAGACAGGGATTAAATGGATTTGGATGGATTAAGAGTAATATCAGAGGATTTGGGGATTAAAAGGGATATCAAGGCATTTAAAAGTATCTGGTGAAGATGTCTAATCCATGATTTATACCTTAAACCTCCGAGACCCTCTGCAAATACCTTGAAATCCCAGATACACCTCTAAACCCTCCGATATCTCCGCTAATCAACCTTAATCCAAGTAAAGCTCCCGATATCACCCTTCATCCACTCTTGCTCCTTCGACATCGCGGCAAAATTACTCTGTATTTCGTTACAGTTTTCTTCATTTTTTGGCGCCGCAGGCGAAAATTTTGCAAATTTTGGAAGGCCATGAGGCCAGAATTCTTCTTTTTATGGTAAAAATCCCATCGGAAAACGTCCCACGCGATATCACGCCCACTTTTTTTAATTTTCGATTTTTTTTATCTTCCCCCGAAGATACCTCATTCCACCGAAGGTACCTCCCATAGATACCTCCACAAAACATCATGATTCTTAAAAATCGTGCCCAACTTCAGCAACATTTCTTAGCGCCGCAGGCGAAAATTTTGAGAATTTTGGAAGACCAACCTACTAGATTTCATCATTTTCCAGTACCGCAGGCGAAAATTTTGAGAATTTTGGAAGGCCAACCCACTAGATTTCATCATTTTCCAGCGCCGCAGGCGAAAATTTTGAGAATTTTGGAAGGCCAAAGAGGCAAAAATCTTCCCTTTTTGTAATAAAATTCCAAGGAAAATGTCGGGTTTCGGGTCGGGTTTTCGAAAATTTCTCGGGTCGGGTTTCGGGTTTCGGGTCGAAAAAAAGTCCGGGTTTCGGGTATCGGGTTTCGGGTAACCCGAGACATCCCTGATACATATCTCTAATTTATTTCTAAATTTTATTAAGCTAGGATGTTTTAATACTCTAATGTCCAAGCATAACAATTTTATGAACACAATATAAACGAAAAAATTTAATTCACTTTCGCCGAGCGTCATGGCGGGCGCTTGTGATCCAGTTTCTTAGGAGGCAAAAGCACCAAATTGACGGGTGTGCACAGAGCGAGTGTCTAGAGCAAGGGCCAAGTCAACAAGGGGCGCAGACGGGAACGTTTGTGTTCCTGGTTGTTTAAAGAGCGGGGCAACGGTTCAGGCCCGAAAGGGAGCAGACAAAACCCGCCGCTTGGTCACAGTGTTCAGACAGCACTTGCGAGCATGCAATTCAAACGTCGATTGGATTTGCTTTTTGAAAAAATTTTTATTAATACGCATGCACTGAAACGTTTCAAAAATGTTGTCTTTTTCTTTGTATTTAACTCTCTTTTTTAGTTGTCTCTCTTACATTGTCTTTATGGGTACAGCCCAATTAAGCGCGCGGCCATAACGGTGCAAAGCCACTTGCTTCAAAATTTTCAAATCTTACCAAATTTAGTATTAAACGATTCCTCTCATCGAGCTGAAGAGATTGATACCAAAATTGATAAGGGCCAGAAATTTTCCAGCAAGTTATGGCTTTGCGCCGTTATGGCCGCGCGCCTACTTGGGCGGGACTGGACCATTAGGGCGCGGGGCCATTAGGGCGCGAGCTTATAAAACAGTGAGTTGCTTATCAAAAAAGATAAAATTTTGCAATAATAACTCTCATGCCTTTATCTACGTTCTCCAAAAATTTCAGAATTTTTGATCAAGAATTTCGGAAATTGTGGCCAAAAATGTTGATTTTCCGAAAAAACCCTAATTTTTCGCGGTTTATCGATTATAACTTCAGAAATATTCGATGAAAAATTCTAAAATTTCTGGAGGAGGTAGTCAATGAGCGCCCTTATGACCCCAACCCACTTGGGCGTGTTCCTGTTTTTATTTTTGTTTTTTAACAAAGAAAGCTGGAAGGTTTGTTGTTTTTCCTTTTTTGCTTCTTCAATTTTTTTTATTTTTCTAATAAAATTTTAAAAATTAAAAAACTCTTTCAGATAAATCTAAGCAATTATGAGTTCAGCAACAAGTCCATTACCACCCCCTCCTAGGGCAACAAGTGCACCAATTTCTACACTTAATTTGAATTGTATTTTTTTAAATTTTAAATGAAAATTTTTCGAAATTTTTTTCTTTTTTAGCCTTTTCTGATTCGACTGCTGAAAGTTTGTCAATTAATTTTGCAAGAAATAAAAAGGCACAAATGGCAGCTAGAGCTTTGTTTGAATTAGTGCATAATTATGGGGATAATTTGAGAGAGGTTTTTTTGTTGTTGAATTTTGTTGATGTTTAACTGCCTTAGTTTTCTTAAAATTAAATTAGCTTTGAATACCCTGGCTCGCCTGTTTTTCTAAAGTTTGGATAAATTTTTTGTCGGGTTAACTGACGGAACGGACAAGTCACGGAATTACTAAATCACGGAACGACCAACTCAACCAAATCACGGAATATTTTAAAAACGGAATTTTTTCAAAAATCTGAATATTTTTTAAAAATTCTGAAAATCTATGATTTCTAAAAACATTCTGATTTTTAAAATATTCATTGTTTTGGTCATTTCGTGAGTTGGTCGTTCCGTTATTTGTAATTCCGTGAATTGTCGTTTCGCGTCTGTTCCGTGAATTGGAATTCCTCGTCTCCAAACACATTTTTCATTGATTTACTTTCAAAATACGAATTAAGTTTAAAGGGAATAGAAGGAAAAAATTGGAGCCATAAAGTATTTTTGGTAATCATGTAGAATCTGGGATACACCTTAAAAATACCTTAAGACTTAATACTTTTTTCTGGAAACAATATTATTTAGGTAATCGACCCTGCTGAGTCCGAATCTGAGCCTAGAATTCGTTTATTTCGAACCCCGGCCCCGAATTCGACCAAGTCGAATTCGGGTTAAGAATTCGAAATTAAAATTTAGGGCTAATCTGACACGACTATTCGAGCTGAGTCGATTGGTATCAAAATTATTCAGTTTCGACAACATTGGACAAAGTTATGATCAATTAAATAACGTTGGGTTAGACTTCCGTCTACAAAGAAGTTCTTCCGTCTACAAAAAAGTCGACTTAGCTCGAATAGGCGTGTCAGATTATCCCTAAATTTTTAATTTCGAATTTTTTACCCCGAATTCGACTTGGTCGAATTCGGGTCCGGGGTTCGAAATAAACGAATTCTAGGCTCAGATTCGGACTCAGCAGGGTCGATTACCTATAGAAAACTATTTTCAGAAAAAACAAGCAAATTTTTTAGATGTATCCCAGATTCTACATGATTACCGTATTTTTATAAAGTTTTCTGCAAGTTTTATCCGCAAAAAAATTGCGGATTTTTCGTAAAATAAAGAAAACTTGAAAAATAATTTAAAAAAATAAAAAAAAATTTTTTTAAAGGGTTGGAAAAACGTGTTTGATTGTTTAATATATTTATTACGTGCCAATTTACTTCCACCAAAATTGTTGGAATTGGAAGATTTTGTGGATGTTAGAGGAATTGTGACAATTAAAGAAAAGTTTAAACGTCCACAGATTTTACCAAAAAAAGAAGAAAGTGGACTGTTTAGTTGGTTAGGTTTAAGTGTTTCTTCAATTTCTAGTGAAACTGATTTAAATAAAAAACAAATAAATGAAGAAGAACAACAATTATGCAATGTATGGAGAGGGTTTTAATTTAAAATATTTTTTTTGAATAATGCGGACATTTTTTGCGGATTTTTCTTTAGCTTTTTAGTAATTACCTAAGTTGGTTTCTAATTTTTGGAATTTTTTTATTCTTGCCTAGCAAGGTCTACGGAAAATTTTCGAATGATAAATTAGTGTTTAGGGCAGAGAGACATATCGGGACGGTCATATCGGGATTGCTGTGGGAGAAATAACCTCTTGTGGTTTTACGTTGGTTCTAAAACATGAAATCTCTTTTCTTCTATATTATATACTACTATCCAAGACACAGTGGCCGTAGGTCCTATGAAAAATTGGGTTGGACAGTAGGGTAACTGGGTAACTGTTCGTACCTTGGAATATTTCGATATGTCTGCCTCTCGTTTTTTGAGCAATAGGCTGATGATTTTATAGAGATTTGTTATTTATTCCCCACCAGACATTTTTTCCATTTCGGTGTCTACTAATCCCACTGTGTATTTCTTTAATTCCTAGTTTTTTTGAAATTTTTTACTGACAAATTTTCACCAACCTTTTAATTTTTCAGTCAGCAATTTCATTAATTTCTGAATGTCATCCAGAGCAAATAATAACCGACAGTCGTTACTTAACCAAATCAGCATTTACTGAATTAATAAATAATATTATACATTGTTCTTTTGCTATAGCTCCAATTCAATCAAAAACACAACAAGTTGATAATCAAGGTTCGTTTTATTTTTTGTGGACATTTCGACATTAAATTTGACGCAATTTTTGCGGAACTGTTTGCGGATTTTTTTGTTTTTTTTGGTAGAAAAAAGCAAAAATCTTTTTTAAATATCTTTTTTAACTAAATGACTCAATTCAGATGATGATTCCATTGTTGACTTGACTTTTGCAGCTGCAGCTTTTTTCCCCATAAAGCTAACTTTGGAGGAGGAGGAATCGTTAATCTTTCTTTTGGAATTTATGGTTTAATTTTAGTTTTTATTAATCCGATTTTTGAGAGAATTTTCTGCTCTTAAAATTAAATTTTGGTTATATTCTTTGAATTTCTTGCTGACAATTTTTTCTTGTTTTTTATTTGCGGACAAACTTTCCGCAAGAAAAAATTTGTTAAAAGTTACCTGGAAAATGTACCCGGTCTCGGTACTTTGGGGAGGGACAGGCCCATAGCCAAGAGGTATTTTTTCTGCATAAAATGCCAGCAATAAAATTCCGCAAAAATTTCCTTTTTAATAAAATTCAATTTCAGACAAAAATACTCGTTGAAAATTCTGACCGTTTATTTCAAGTCTGGCCTTCAATCCGTGACTATCTTCAATGTCTATTCAACAATTTTAATCAAAACCAGCAAATAATTGAACGTTTAATTATTTCATTATTTCGAATTACTTGCCACAATTTTTGTTTTCCACAAAAAAATTTAATTAAAATTCCATCACAAACAGAAATTGATCTATTCATTGACGATGTTATTCAATTTATTAGCCAAAAAATTTTGGAATTGAACCCTATTTATATTTTAATGTTTTCTCAACAAATTATGGATGGAGTGCAGAAGCTATTGAGGGAAAATGGAGAAAATGTGAAAAATGAAGAAAATTGGAATAAAATTTTTTCAGTTTTGGAGAGGATTAATTATGTTTTATTTAAGCAGTTTAGGTAAGGGATACGTGGTTCTACTTCACTTTATATGTCCAACAAGGGCGTAGCCAAGGGGGAGGGCTTCTGGGGTTATTCCCCCCTGAAATGGGGAAAGTGAAAAAATTTTGGGAGGGAAATGACCGTCTTATAAAAATAATATTTAATTAGACGTGTAAGTCGTTTGGCATGTAAAGTGAAATGGAAACGTACAAAGTGAAATTCTAATAAATTAAAAATATTTAGCTGTCCACAAAATTTTCCTGTCGAAGTGGACCCAATTACTAGAACTGAAGAGGCAAAAATTAGAGCAATTCAATTTACTTGTAAAGTACTTTTGGGCAATATTACGCAATTTTATAGGTTTTATAAACTTAAAAAAAAGTCCGCAAGTTTTGTCCGCAAAAAAAGTCCGCAAAATTTATTGCGGACATTTTTATAAACTTGTGGACTTTTTGGTTAATAAAATAAAATGACCTCAAAAATAGATTAAAATCGTTTCCCGATTTGTTCCTACGCCTTTTTGATTTAATGGACCAATTTTTGGAAGAAAATGCTTGTAGTGATTTGCTTGCGGAAGTTATACAAGAATCTTTGAAAAATTGTTTGAAAAAATTTTTTTTAATTTAAAAAAATTTTTAAATTTAAGGTATTCTAGTTTGTGAAAATTTTGGAGTTTTTCAAGGCCCAATTGAAGGATTAAAAGCAGAAGTAAGTGGGAGATTGGAAGCGTTAACTGTTAAACATTCAAATTCTGCTAATTCAAAAATTGCCTTATAAATGATGGGAAAAGTATTTTTTGATTTAAAAATTTTTTAATTAAATTATTGGCTGTGATTTGATGTGAAAATAAATATATTTTTAGTGTTATTTACAGTACTGTATTACCGCGGTATTTTCCGGTATTACCGATATCGTACCGGTCGATTTTGTAAACCCCGGGTTCTGAGCTTCTCGGCCTTCCAAAATTCTCAAAATTTTCGCCCACGGAGCAGGCCGCGGGCGGAAATTTTTGTTTTTCAAAATTAATTTACGGTTATAGACTCTGGATTCTGATACACCCGCCCTCCCCCTTCCAAATGCCCCACCTATTTGGCGGACATTTTAGAGAAGGAGGGGTCTGTCGGCAAAAACCAAAGGATGTAGGGCAGGGCTGTTCGAAAAATTTTTTTTTGTTTGAATCGAAACGATTATAAAACTTAAAAATTGAATAAAATATGTAATAAATTATACTTTTTTATTTAAATAAAAATATTTAAAATTTTTAATATATATTTTTCATTTTCAATTTATTTATTTTTAAATTAATTAAAAAAAAGAAAATGGTTGGTGTTTCATTAAATGATAATGAGAATTTAAAGAAAAATGTACCTACAGCTGAAGATCAACAACAAATTAATAAATTTGCCCGTTTACACAAATCTTATTTGGAAAATAAAGTTTTGTGGATTTTTTTTAAATTAAAATTATTTTTTAAAGGGTCAATTAGCCTTTTTACAAAATACGGCACAAAATTTGACTGATGCTGAAAATGAAGTTATGCTTATGGAAGATGGACAATTAAATGTTCCGATACTTGTTGGGTCTATTTTTGTTCATCAAGATCAGGTAGAGTTTAAATTGAAGGATAGAAATTAGGGGTACAGCCCAAGTAGGCGCGCGGCCATAACGGCGCAAAGCCATAACTTCAAGATTTCCGAATCTTAACAAATTTAGTATTAAACGATTCCTCTCATCGAGCTAAAGAGATTGATACCAAAATTGATAAGGGCCAGAAATCTTCCAGCAAGTTATGGCTTTGCGCTTTATGGCTTATTGAGAAAAGTTTCAAAATTTAATTTTTGGCTGCAGTGGAAAATTAGATAAAAATTTTGAGCAAGAATGAATTTTGTAAATTGAATTTTATTGAGTGTATTATGAAAATAACATTTTTGTAAATTTTATTTATCACTACGATTAGGGTTGCCGTCCTGGCACGGTCCAAAAGTTTGAGTATGGCATCGAATTTTGGCCCTAAATAGACTCGGTCGGGTCGGCCTGATAAAAATGAGGCCCGAAAAAAATGACTAGAACATCGGCCCGACTCGAAAACGGCAACACTAATCACGAGCTTTATTAAAACAAATTAACCTTTTTATTAATTTAAAAATAGGATAAAATAAATTTAATGTTGGAAGAACGTAAAGAATATATTCAACAACAAATTGTTAGTTTGGGGGAGAAAATAATTTGTTTGGAAGCTGAAATGAAAGTAAACAAATAAATATTTTTATTTGTTAATAAAACAATTTTTTGAGGACCTCCGAGCAATTCTTTATGCAAAATTTGGTGATAATATTCAATTGGAAGATGAACAGAATAATGGGGAATAATTGAGAGATTAAATACGAAATTAATTGTTTTTATAAATTTGTTTTTAACATTAAATTTTGTTGAATCGAATTTGGCTTTTAAAATTGAATTATAAAAATGTTTATAATTTTGTTTAAAATTTTTGGTGCAGCGGTGGGTCGGGCCGAAAAATGGTTGATTTAGGATTATTTCCAAATTTTCTTCAGTTTTGTTGAGTAAATTGTTGAGTACTTACATACACTATGGTTTTACAATTTCCTCCGAATCTTTCAAAATTTTTTGTAATTTCTGCCTATGGCGAAAGGAAGAAATCCGACTTCTCTGGCCTAAAATTTGAAAATTTTCGCTTGGAGCGTTAAAAGGACAAGTCATACTCTGAATTAAGGAGTGGTTCTGAAAAGTTGTTTCAAAGATGCGTGTGATACGGATATTAAATAAATCAATATTAAATTAATTTTAAATTTAAATAAAATATTAAATTCATTTTTCTTATTTACAATTGTCGATTAGTCTCTCGATAGCTGTAATAGATTGAGGAGAGGAATAATTTAATTTAAATGTTGGCATTTGTCTAATGCTGTGTTGCGGCAAAAATAGCATTGGGAATGAAGTTACGCAATTTTGTTGCTATTAAACGCTTTAAATATCTTTTCTCTCGGCTATGTTAACAGGCCAAATAGTAGTGATGTGGAGAGGTAAGAAATACAAATGCATTTAATTTTTTGGGTTTTTTATTTAAGCTAATTACTTTACTTTACTAATTACTTTTACTTTTATCCATTTAGCTTTTATTTTTACTTTACCTGGCTTTTATCCATTTGGGTTTATTTCCATCCATTTTAAATAAAAAATTTAAATAGTACATATGTATAGTCATGGACATAAAGATATGAAGGAGCAAGAATAAGTGAAGTAGATATTACCTATTTTTTCAGACAGAAATAGGATATACCTATCATAGGAATTGAAAGTTATATCGGGGGATTAATTCAGATTTAAAGGGATATAGAAGATATCACAATTGATATTCCTTTTAATCCCCAAATATCAGTGGAAAAAAGTGGATTTAGGTTATATTTCTCGATTTTGAGAGGATATCGGAGGATTAAGGCGAATATCCGTCGATATAGGGATTAAGCTGGATATCGGCAGTTTTGGAGGAGAATTTATTTTCTTTCGTTCCTCACCTGAATCAATTCACACTCCATTTATCGGAGGATATCATGGATATCAATCCCTTTTATCCAACGAATCCATTTATAACACACGCCCTATTCAACATATGTATATCTCCTAAATCCTCATAAAAATTTCGGTTCGTTTTCGATTAACCGACGAATTTGATGAAACCGACAACCCATTGTGTGCCGACATAAAAATAAATTTCCAAATAAATTACAATAACAAACAATTTCCAAGGAAAAATAAATTCCAAAATAAAATTCCAAATACCTACATATTTGTTTTTGTTGTAATTTAAAATCAACTTCATAATTATCAAAATTCTTTCAGAAAATTTATTTTAATTATCTATTAATTTTTACAAATTTTTAAAATAATTAAATATAAAATGCGTTTTTTGGCATTTTTCTTGTTATTACATCTTTTATTACCCATGATTGGATGTATGGATAAACCTTCAAAGAAGGCTAGATTTTATTTTAAATTTGACTTTAATTATGTGGTCGGCCTATATTTGTGAATGGGTTCTAATGGACATCGCTCTCATTAAAAAGATAAGCTTTAACATTTAGCTTATTAGTTGATTTTTTACATTTTTGTGGATATGGGATTGAGAATTTTTTAGATTATTGGATTTTCTGAATTTTAACAAGTGCCGTCATCCATGATAGTGAATCGGGGAACTACAGCGACCCAATTCACAGAATTATTTATTTTATTTATTTTTTAACTTGATTTTTCTATGTTTTTTAGAAACATTCTCCTATCTGGAATCATTTCAATGATATCGGTAATAACAGAGTAGCATGCAGATACTGCCCCAGAAATGTTGTCCTTACCTCTATGTATGAACATCTTAGAAAGTTACATAAGGAAGTTTATGAAAAAAATGTTTGTTTTCATATATTTATTTATTATTGTTTAAAACAACTAATATCATTCAACAGCAGCCAAACACATAATTTTTATTTAAAAAACTCATTTTAGGTGGAAGAAATAATGAAAAATTTTACCCCAACAAAAGGAGACAAATTAAAATGTAATGATTGCAGACGTATGTTAAAAAATAGTTTAAGTGGATTAATAGAACATCTTTACTTAATACACAATAAGAACTTTTATAAATCTGAACAAATAAATGCAGAAATAAATTTACAAACTCAAGTATTTATTAAATAAATTTACAAAATTTTTTACAATACAGGGAAATACCAAAATATTCATAGAAAACGGGTTATTAAGCAGACATGGTCATGGATACGGATATGAATACAGATAATACCAAAATGCCTGCGGATATCCGCCTGTATCCGTCTGTATCCGCCGTAAATATCCGGATACGGATACCAAAATCTGTATCCGTGACCATGTCTGTTATTAAGTGCTTATCCAACATAAAGCATCATTCTTGAGCTTACCACATCAAGGCATAAGAAAACATGCATTTGCATGTTTTGTGAAATTAAAAATATCATCGGTTTTCATTTTAGTAAAAATTTTTAGGAGATTTTTAAAAATAATAGAAATTGGTAAACTCAATTATTTCTAAGTCTGGTGAATTTGACATTGATTTCTTAAATAAATATAAAATTTTTGGGTATAATAACATTAAAGTTTATTTTCAAGTTTTGACATGATAATGAGTATTATTTCAGATGCAACAAGATGACGGAAGTATCATTGGCGAAGGAGGCAACCAAACAAATACACAAGAAATTAATCAAGTAATTTTGTATTCTAGCATTATTTGTCTCTAATTTCTTCTTTTTCTCCCATTTTTGGTTGGTTAAAAAGCCGATCAAAAATTTCGTTGGAATTCGATTTGGACTAGATTTCAACTTTTCTGATAGTATGATCTGGATTTTCCGTGTTAAAATCCAGAAATCCGGAGAACCTGAATAAACATTTAAAAATCAGGGTTTCGGGCACCGACTTATCTCTTATCAATATACGCTCATTTAAATTAATTTTTTCATAGTTAATTTGTGTAATTATGGGTTTATAGCATGAATATTCCAAAAAATAATGGAATGATTAGTAATTCTATATTGAGGAAATACCGATTAGTTATTTATCGATATATTAATCTATTTAAATTTTATTGAAACTTATATTAAAATTTAATTATAAATAGGAACATATATCATTAGAGGAGATGTATAAGCAAATTTTTGGTGAAGATTACAATGATGGTATGTTTGTATAATTAATTAGATACAGGACTCGGAGTTGCATATCTAAATCCTCGAAAACTTTTCACGATATTTTTCGATTTAAAAATATTTATTTTATCAGAAATACTAACAATAAGCATCTTTACTGCCAATTCTAATAAAAAATAAACTATCAATCCTAATAGTAATGAAAAGAGTCATCGTCCCCTATGATGGGGTATTTTTATTATTTATTCAACCTATTACCACCCAACCTATGATCAACTCAGTACCGCCCAAGTCTCTCTCTCTCTAATGTAAATTAAATACTTATTTTAAAAAGATGTTGTGCCTGCATCACAGGGCTATGGGCATCATGATCAATATTTGTCCACTGGTAATAAAACAATTTACGAAAAATAAAAGTTTAAATTAACAGCTGAATATGAGCAACAAACACAAAAGGCTATTGAAGAATCTGTTCGTCAAATGCCTCGAGGAGGTCCAATAATACGAGGTATAAAAAATGAATAAATTTGTGTAAATTAATTAAGAGTAATTTTAATTTATAATTTGTCTATATATCCATAAAATTTAGATCGAGGAGAACAATCTAAAAGGGGAAAAGAGAAAGTAATTGAAGTTTCTAGCGATTCTGATTGAAAATTATTAGGCTTTAAATGAAAGACGAAGGATTTTATATGAGTTTAAATTTTTTAGGTATTTAACAAAAGGGGCTAAAACAGAGATGGTCATGCATTCGGATTTGCTATCCGTATCCAAATATTTATATCCGTGTAATTTTTTAGGCGTATTCATCCGCGTTTAGTGAAAAAGATTGAAAGAATCTTTTTCACTGAATTTTAAAGACAAATAATCAGATTTCTTTCTTTTTTCATTAATCTTTCTTTTCAGCGACGCAGGTGAAAATTTTTTAATTTTGGATGGCCGTAGGCAAAAAATTCAATATCTTAGGGTTGCAGCAAGAATTTTGAGATAGATATCTGCGGATTTTGAGTATCATTCCTTATCCATCCGGATACGTTCGATTTAAAAATTACACTATCAATATCCGCCCTTATCGGTTTTATCTTGATATTATCCGTCTCCATGACGTCTGGGTTAAAAATCTAAACATTTCCGGCCTATTCCTAGTCTAAAATTTATACAACCAATTTTTGAGAGAACAACAATAAAAAGGCTAAAAAATTTAGTTCACAAAGAAGCCCAATTCTTAAATATTTACTTTAGACTTAGAGTGTATTGAAATACAAACCTTTGAAATGCCAAAACCACAAAATTTCCATTGGAATGCAAAAATATGTTTTAAATTTTAAAATTAGGAAAAATCATTAATTTTAACTTAATTTTTATAAAAATAGCAAACAATAACAGGTTTAAAATAAAATTGAATAGATGGGTAGAATTTAACAGAAAAATATTTTTTATGGCATTTCATTGGTTTGATTTAACAATTTAATACCTTTTAGCCTGAGCCGGAAATGTCGGGTCAAGCAGTGTTTGGAAATTAGTGCCAAAATCGAGTCAAAATTTTCAAAAAAATTTAACTATCAAAAGTTTTCAAGATTAAAATTTCCAAACACTTGCTGAAAATGTCGCGCATATTTTTATTTCATTTTAAAACTAACATACAATTTATGTCTTTTTATATTTAAATTTGGGATTTTAAGCATAAATAGGTATATTTTAATTTATTTAGTATATTCTAGTGTTAGGCAAATGGATTTGTCCGGTACAGATACCGGTAGTACCTAAAAGTACCTGTATCGATTGAGACCGAAAATATCAAAATCTGCCGGTACCTGTACAGTTAGTAACGAAATTACCGATACCGAAAAGTAAAAAAGAATATTTTTCTTTAGTATTAATTGATTACTAGATTAAATACTTTTTATATTAATTTCCAAATGATTTATTAACCGAGCTATTTTTGACATCAAAAACTAAATATAAAACAATAAAATTTAAATTATAATAAAATAATTTCAATTTTTATTCAAAAAATAGTTAATTATTGCAAATGTCATTTAATCAGAAAATTTTAAAAATTAAAAGAAACACAAGAATAAATAAAACATTTATTTTAACTTTATTAATTTGCCCCTCAGATTTAATAAAAATTTTAGTTGAAGGAATAATTGTTGATGTTGTTGTTGTTGTGCTTGTTTTTGTTGTTGTTTTTGGGGTTTGTTTAATAGTTGTTGTTGTTGTTAAAGGTAAAAGGGATTCTTTGTTACAAAAATTATTATTACATTTAACACAATTTTGATATTTTGAAGGGCATTCTCCACAATTTTGTTCAACTTTTTTTTAAATTAATTTTTATAAGAAAAATATTTAACTAAATAACCTCTCCAAAATACATCTCTAGCAATATAACAACTGTCATAAACATGGTGACATGTTTTATTTATTTTTAAATTTTGTTGAAATTTTGAATTGAAAAGGAAACATTTTATAGGAGGGGGAAGTATTGTTTCTGTATTACATAAAGAGGTGGAAGAACAATCACTGCATTTTGCTAGATTATGTTGCCTTTTACATTTATCACACCCTTGAACAAGGCCTTTAATAAATAAATTATTTTTATGATTTCTAAGGAAAGCTTTACTCTCTATACATATAACTAAATCAGGGTTCTCATCGACGAAATGCCACTCAACTATCTAAAATCCGGGTAAATGGAAATTTCGGGGCTAGTGTAGGGAGCGGACCAAATACCTTAAATGTCTATATATCAAGGAGATTCTACTTAATATCAAAACAAATATATTAATATTTACCCATATTATTTTTATCAACCCCAATAAAGCAAACACCAACTTTACAAACCCTCGTTCCCTTATTTTTTATCCAATTTAAAGCATTCTTCTCCCAACAAAATATTTGACTTATAAAGAAAGTATCAGTATTACAAAATGAATTTTTATGGCATTGAGCACATTGTATATTGCTTAAATTTATTTTATTTTTTGGGCACTTTCCACATCCTCGTTCTACTAAAAATTTCTTTTTTATTCAAAAAATATTCTCATTTTTACATTTTCCATCAAAATGTCGACGAACTAAACAACTTCTTTCTTCACAAATAATAGCTCCTAACGACTTTTCTTCTTTTCCTTTATTTAAACAAAAAAATGTTTTATCAAATAATTCTTTTGTATTGCAAAGTTGGCCATTACAATGAACATTTAAAACATTTATTTCGAGTTTAGGTCCTTTCCCACATCCTCGCTCGACTAAAAATTAAAAATAAAGTTGAATAATTTGTAATATCCATCCGTTGTTTGTTTAAATTTCGAATAATTATTTTTTGAAATTTTAAAAACTGGGGCACAACTAATGATTCGAATCATGTGGTCGTAGGTCAAGGACACGAAAAAAATGTTATTGAAGCCATGCTTTAACTTTAAGCAAGATGATGAGAAGTGGGCGATTAGTTCTGTCTTTGGCACTTCTGCCTTCCGATTTTAAAAATGCAGGTGAATCCATTCGTAATCAGTAGAGATCGAGCTGGGCCTGGACCAAAACCTGGGTTTTTCCTGTACCCAGAGTCCAGGCCCAGGCATTTTTTGACCTTCCTGGATCATAATCCACGCGAAAATTATGGCGAAAGCCCTGTCCTCTATATCTTTTTTATAGAAAAAGACTTCTCCTAAAAAAATCCGCTACGAATATTCGATTTGAATTTTAAATACCTCTTTTATTCCTCACATTATAATAACAAAATCCATTCCATATATTTAAAGGACATGCAGCCATATCTCTAACCCAACAAAACTTTACTTGTTGAAAATACTTTTCTGTATTGCATAAATCTGTTTTGCATTCTCTGCATGGAATTTTATTTTCTACAGAACGAGGACATTTGCCACATCCCTGTTTAGTGTATTTTTTAAAAATTGTTTCTTCAGACATTCCAGAACCTTTAAAAAAAGAAATTCTATCGTCTTTTTACCGTCCTTCCTTAATTACCTTTATTAACATTCACAGATATAAAACAAAATTTCGATTTACAAGGTCTACCTCCTTCCTTCTCGTTTCCATTTTCTTTTCTCTCATAACAAAAAACACTTTCCTTTAATTTATCTTTTATATTACAATTTAATCCTCTACAATCAACACAAGAACTGTCTATTTTATTTTCATCACAAGTGCCACAACCAGCTTTTGAGCCTAAAAAATTTACTTAAAGTTTTTCATTTTACAAGAAGCCGGTTCTTGGCTTCAGCGCTAAAACCCAGGAGCACTTATTTTCCTCAGATATCAGGATTTTGGGTCAGGGCCCGGCCCTAGTTTTAACTCTAATATTCAATTAATACTCAACTTTAGCAATATAACAATTCAATTTACCACAACCAATAACTCCCTTTCCATCACCATCAAAACAATAACTAAAAGGAAGATCATTCCCATCATTACATAAATTTTTATAACAAATTTTACACGCTATTGAAGGACATTTTCCAATTCCTTTATTTACTAGAAATTTTAATTTAAATTGTTAGATTTAATAATCTAAACAACAAAACTTTGATGATTTCTTGTTCTTTCCACAAAACAAGGAACATCTCCATTTACTTTAATTTTTCCATAATTTGTCCAACAATATTTGGGTATTATTTTTTCGTCATTACAATTCTTTGTTCTGCAATATTTACAGAATTCGGTATCTTTATTATCTGGACATGCCTTGTTCCACTCTCCACAACCTTGTTTTACTAAAATAATTATTAATAATTTTTCCTAAATTTTGTTAAACCTTTTCCATCCTCACGTCGATTAATAAAACATGGTTCACGGTGACTGTCAGTCATTCCTACATTTTCATAACACATTTTTCTCTTAGGTTCCAATTCATCCCAGCCTTTAATCAGGCAAAAAAGTACTCTTTCAAATTCTTCTTTTGTATTGCAAAAATTATCATGAATACATAAAAGCAACTGTATGTCCGTTTCTTTTTCCTTTGACAGGTCCGGACGGCCACATCCTTGTTTAACTGTAAAAACAAACATACTAATTTACATAAGACAACCATTTTTTCAAATAGAATAACTTCCATTTATTTCCAAAACACGGTCCAGACAAAACATGGAACGACCAAAATACGGTCTAGAAAATTTCGCGAAGAGGGATAAAAAACGGAAGACGGAAAGTGGAAGGGCCAAAAAAGCGGATTCTGCTGAAAGCAAAAGCGGATACTTCCTTGGTACCTATGCAACAATCTTCTTAATTCTCACAATCTCTTGATTTTGAGATATTGTAATATAATCCCCTTGTAAGAGTGATAGTTTCACTATAAAATTCTATACATCAGAGTGCGTATATCTGGAATCAATTACACTATAAAAAATCTAGCCAAAATTCTCGAGTTTTTATGGAAGTAAAAAGGTCACATCGCAACCCTCTTTAGAAAATACTTTTTTGAAATTAAGCGGCATCAGATTTCTTGACGGAGCCATTTATACTATCTGAACTTGAGTAATGTAGAAATAAATGTTCTGTTATAAAGTGCAATATATCAACCATTTAAATCGAAAAACAAAACAAACCTATAGTTTCCTTGATTACAGCATAATGGCAAGCTCTTCCAGTTATCTCCCTAGGACATGTAAGAACGTTATCTCCGTCCCAGCACATTATGCTTTCTTCTGTTAATAATATCCTTCTATTACAAGCATTAGAAGTGCATGCCATACATGGAATATTTTTATTACGCATAGAAATGCAGTCACCACATCCAAGTTTATATCCGTAAAAATTACTTCTGCGAAGAGCAGGATCATAGACTTTACCTAAAATAATATTCGGCTTTGTAAAATATCTCATAAAGGTTAATGTATAATATGATCCATAATAGCTTTAGAGCTGAAACAAATCACGCCAGTCCTAGAAGAATCAATCAAATTCTGTTCTACATAACCCAGCTCGATTGTCAATACATTTTTCGGACTCGAACTCACTATCACAACCATAAGGAGGACCAAGCTGATTTTTGCGGTTAAAGATTTGATTATACTCTAAAGATTTCGATTATATTTGCGGTCACAGATACCATTGAGCTTAATCGAATACATAAAAATGAACGAAGTCTGTTTGTAATTGGTTTATGTATACCGATAATGAGAGAATTTTCGCTATAAAGAGAATATTTTTCGATAATTTGAATTCTATCCCTATATTAATAAAGTTATACTAATTGTTTTATTAAAAAAGTTTAGGGGGCCCTGGCATGTAGAACAGAATCTTCATTAAAGGAGAAATTATACTTAATGCTAAGTCGAATCGTCTTTTATTACAGTCTTAAATTCCTTGAACTTTTTAAAAAACTAAAAAATAGCCTATTAAAGGATGGTATGCAACGCAATCTTCTTTACATTCCTGAATTAACATTACATCTACATTGTCAATCCACACACTAGGGTCATCTTTTATCCAACAACGTAGCGATTTAATGCCCTTAACGATTATAGTAAGATTTTTCAAAATTTTAATATAATTAAAAATTATAATTATAACTAATTATTGTGAATAATTTACATAACTAAATTAAATTTAAATAATTGTATTAAGCATCCCGATCCTACATAGCTTTAGGAATTAAATTCTATATATGTATTTCTCATTACATATCTACTACCTATTTAATTCTTTGATTACCTGAAATTTTAGTATAATAATAATGATTATTTGGAGAAGATAAAACATTTATTGAACTCTGTTAATTTCTATTTAATTTGAAGTTTAATTTAAAATAATTAGAGAAATTAAATATTAACCATTTAAAACATTCTTTAATTAATTAAAAAAAATTTTTTTTAATTGGAAAAATAAAAAAAGTTAGGTATAAGTATGTATATTAAAAATTAAAGTGTTTTATTATATGTATTTAATTCTAAACAAAATATACATTATATTACATACGTACATATAACGGATAAAAATTTTACCCAGTATTGATTTTGAAAAGATATCATTCAAATTTTTATTTAATATTGAAAAAAATTTAGCTCATTTTGGGGAATTTTCAAATAAAATGATTTTTCTGTGAATTTCCATCTGTTCAGTAAATTTTCATTTCTTCCGTGAATAGCATATAATCAGTAGAATGTATCAATTTCGAATTTCTGCAATTTTATTCCGACCCTCAATATTGCTTATTGGCCCAGTCACCTAAAAATATTTATTTTTTCCAAACTCTTAGAAATCAGAAATTACCTCAACATATTGAATAGCCCAAAAAGGCAATTCAAATTGATAAATTTCTTGATCATCATAATAAATTTCAAAGTTTTTTTCTGTGGCAAGAAATACCATATTAATTATTTGACCGATTTCCAGTTTTTGAGGTAAATTTTTAACAAAACTATCACAAATATAATTCCTTTTCTTAAATATTTTAGAGGTTTTAATAAACTATTTATTAAACTTACAAATTTCTTACAAAAGGAAATATTTTGATTTGTTATCTTTGCCTGCAAAACAACATTTCCTCCTTAAAAATTATGTTTTTGTAAATCTAGTCTTCAGTAAATTTATTTTTTACTATTTTCATCCCATCCGAGTGCTCCATAATAAAAATTAATTAAAATATTTTCATCCAATTTTGTAACTTTCCCCTTCACGCTAATATGTTTCCCTTCTTTTAAATTTTCAATTTTTGTTATGTGTGGCGGAAGTGATTTAGAAATATATTTAGAACATCTTTTTGCATCATTGCCGAATTTAACATTATTTATATTTCCTCTTGCCTAGAAGAATTTTTATCCGAATTTATTTTTATAAACTTACCATAATCCAATTAACCATCCAGGGAGGAGCTACATAATTATATTTAATAAAAGTTTTGCCTTCATTAAATCCGATCTTGAAGTAAGATTCTTCAATAGCTATCCGTACAGTTAATTCAACACCCGACAAGCCAATTGGGTTTGCATATTTTTTTTCATTTTTATAATCACCATTATGTAGCCTGCTAGATATTTTAAGCCATGATTCTTCGTGCCCAGTCGAGAATTGGAATTCCATTTTTAATAAAGTATCGCCAACTGGAATTAATTTTGATTATTAAATAAATTATTTTATTGTCTAAGGATTCACATAAATTTCCCCAAATTATTTTATTTGTTTTCACAACAGTCTTGACCCTCTAATAGGCATTGTTGGGGCTATCGTTTTTAAAACTTACAACTTTTTGAATCATCATTACTTTCATGCATCAGATTTATTTCAAGTTTCTCTATTCCTTCAACATCGCTTGATTTAGGCAAAGTACCCTCAAGACAGAATGTGGAACCAATAAAAGGCAATTGGTCCAATTCATATTTGTAGATTTTCTCGGTTTCATTTAATTGTAATTTCTTAAATTATTCATTAAAATATTTTCTAATTATTTAAAAATTCACTTACAGGGGATGTGATGAATGGCTCTTCTAGAAGAACTGCATCTCCTTTTACCTAAATATAACTTGCATTATAGTAAATGCTTTCAAACTTTTTTAGATATCACCGACTTATCTTTGGCCGACTTAACCACTTAAATATTTTTGGGAGGACAAGAAAACAGATTTCTTTCATTATGGGAAAAATAGAGTTTCGAATCGGGGCTCGTGTTGAAAAGATCGGGTATCTGGTAATCAATGAACATCCCTAGGAACCATTAAACAATTCCTAAGAACAAAATAAAAATCTAAGGAATGTTTTACCTGTATCCAATTTGTTGACCAAAAAGGAAATCCTCCTATATAGCTGTGGCATTCTTTGCCGTTTATATAAATATTGTAAAATTCAATGTTTTCTTCCTTTTTAATAATATTTTGCATTTTAATTGTAATTTGGATTGGTTTGCCTTTTGAATATATATTAGCTCCTTGTATTGTTGCATTATTATGATAGTTGTCTTCCTTTATTTTAAATAATTATTTATCAATTAAATGCAAAAGATTATCCAAAATTGAATATTCTCATAACTCAAAACTAGTTTTCTGCATCTTTTCGGTCTATATATCCCCTATCCTCATTTCTTCACATCCCCGTTATCCCTCTAAATCCTTCTTTAACCTATATCTTTATTGATCCCCCGAACTCCTTCAAATCCCCTGACTAGTAAAGTTCAGAAAAAAGAAAAGTTAAAAAACTAGTAGAGTTCAGGTACGACGAGCCTGTACCTAAAATCTATTTGGCGATTATTACTCAGAACTGTGAAGGAGACTACACATGAAAGGCCCCTAATTCTAGAGCTATGGAGTTTTGGACAGCTTTATTAAACAACATACAGAAAACGATGTCAACTTAATAATATTATTTCCATAATTAACATCAATTGACAAAACTGTAGCCCCAACTTAAATTAAAAATATAAACAAAATTAATTTAAATTTAAAAACTATTCAAATTAAATTCAGGAGAATCATGTAAAAGTAGAAGCTGGAAGGATGCAGCTTTTTCAAAAATTTGTACTCTTATTGTGGCAATTGATCCATTAGTCATAAAATTGTTAAATATTCGGTTGGAGTGGGGCAATTTAATATTGTGAATTTTCTTAAATTATTAATTTTATTTTAAAAAATATTTTTGAATTTTGAATTATTAATACGTTTAGTGCGACACTCTAAATTTTAGATTATAGCCTAAATATCTCTTGAAACAATAATATCCGAGATGTAAAATATTAAACAGTAATGTTAATATTATCATATTTCTACAGCTACGGCTTAAATTTGGTCATTTATTTTATCAAATTAGAGTAACTCTAATAGCTATCGACTAATCAAGTTCATACATATTCAAAGCCCAATTTCCCCCAAAAATTAATTTTAAAACCACCTCATTTTCTGTTTCAGTAATTGCATTAACCCGAATAAAGTCTCCAAACACTTCCAACTTTTTATACGTTAAATATTTTTTTCCATACCACCATTTACTATACCAAAATTTATTTGTAACATCCTAAATTTAATTTTATGTTTTTTGAGAATTTCCGTAAATGAGGTAATAGATGAAGCCCATTCCAAATAAGGTCCCCATCCTATTATAAGCCCACACATTGACACCCATTGAAGCGGAGGCACGGGGCTTCTATTAGGGCATGTGCTGTATATTTAAAATAAATTTTTCATAAAACCCTTACATTTTTCTCAAAAACAATTCTGTCCTCATAGACAAAAATTCCAAGATTTCTTTCATTATTGTAAAGTTTGAATGTTGCTGTTGCATTTAAATTGTTAATAAATATTTTAAAATTAATTTCAATTTCAATATTCCCAATTAAATTATAAGTTTCTTCTGTGCGGGTTTTGGGGCATTTTGAATTTCCAAATTCAGTAATTTCAAACCATTTATTTAACATTTCTTTACTTTTTCGGCTTATTTTCTGTTCTCTCGTAAACTAAAAAATTATAATATTTTTTTCAGTTAAAACCCCCTCCATACCCAAACTTTCATTGGACAATTACATCCTCTATCAACATAAAAGCTGAGAATGTTGTCCATTTCTTTGGACAATATATCATATCCCAACATCCAAAATGTTGAATGAGCTGAAAACAAGCGAGAGACATTGAAGGGGGCCCACTTCATTTCTTCAAAAAACTTCCTTTTATGCTCCACATCCACACTATATCTATTCATAGCCAGCCCTTCTTGAAATTTAAATATTTTTTATTTACTTTGAATATCATTTCTCTACCTTTTTCAATAACAATGAGCCTCGTGGTGAATACTTTTTCACCCATTGTGATTGAGAATTGCTCTTCCGATCCGATATTATAGCTTTAAATTATTTGAAAAAATTTAGTATTAAGGTCAAGGTAAACTAGGAGGTCAATATTTGGATGATACCACAGTTATTCCCTCAAATTAAAAATATATATTTATTTTCCCCTCTCTAGTTAATTATCTAAATTTAAATTTTAAATAAAAAATCTAACTTCATATCGAAGATTGAGGAAACCAATTTCGTTTTGTTGCCATCAGCAGCAGTTCGGTGGACGTAAATTCCATGCCATGGGACAAAGGATGATGGAATATCCGATGCCAACCTGCAAAGGCTGTCAATTCCTTTTCCACTATTACAATATTCCTTCCTTTTAATTTCACACATATAGCCCACATTGTTCTTAATTTTATATGAATATAGCCGAACTATTATAACCATATCACCCTAGATGCTAACGTGAAAAGTGATATATGAACAGGAGAAAAATCAGACTAAAACATTTCCCCCTTTCAAGCCCATATAAGCCAGTGTTAAAGGTGGATGAGGGGTTCCATTTCAATTAAATAAATATTTAAATTTTTACTTTGTTTGTGTTCTTAATTCGGTAATCATTATTGGTGACGAGGCCTCGTTTTTTAAACCTTCCATCCAACTGTCCGGGATAACAAATTAACAAACTGATTTTATTTTTAATTTAATTTTAAATTAATATATATATATTACCCATCGCAAAAATATCCAGCCTTAAGATAAAAATTAATGGAATAGACAGCCAAGTTTTCATAATTCGGGTTGCGCATACAATGATCCTGATGGTGGTAATGGATTGAAAACGAATCAGTTTCCATTGTTGTCAACTTGACTCTTAAATTTTAAAAATTATTTTTAATTTTTTATAAATTATTTGCTTACATTTCAGTCTTCAAAACATTACTTTCCACAAAATCAAAATCTTTTATCCTTATCAAAATTATTATTAAAATTGAAAAGATTAAAGAAAAGCAGTTCATTTTAATTTTTGATTAACAATTGAATTTATTTAAACTGAAAAAAATTAATTAAAATAATTAAAGATTTTCTGTTAATTTCTAAATATTTAAGGCTTAATTTAATTTTTTAATGAAAATAATTTTAAATTAAATAATTTAAAAATGGCTGTTAATTGCTGATAAAATAGCCCTTTTTGTATACAATTTTTTATTAAAAAAAATTAATGAATAATTAAAAGTTATCTGATCAAATTATTTTAATTTTTATCGTTAAAATATGAATCATTTACATATTTATTTAATTTAAATCAAAAAAATTATAAATTAATTTAGTTGTGTGTGGTCAACGGAAATTGTTTGGGAATTTATTAGAAAAAAATTAAAATTAAAGAATCAACTTTTACATATTTTATGAATCATCCAAATATTTTATATTAAAATTATCCTTCTGTGATTTAATATCAATATTTTGATCGTCGAAAAAGGGGATCCAGAATTTTTCTTTTGAAGAAATATTTGTAGGGAATGAGAGGAGAAAATCAAAATTTCTCCTTTTTACTATAAAGAAAAGAAAGCTTCTCCCAACACAAAAAATACAAGAAAAGCGGATACTCTTTGAAGACATGCAGTCCTTCGACTGGCATTTACAGTTAGAATTTAATATGAATCATTTATTTATTCTATTTATTTAAATTTAATCCAATATTCTAAAAATTACAAATTAAATCTATGTGTGTGGTAATCGGAAATTGATGGGAATTTTTTAGAAAAAAATTAAAATTACATAGAGCATCAACATCAATAAAAAAACTAAAAATAAAATGATAAAATCGGTTTTTTAAATACTTTAATGAGTCATCCAAATATTTTTTAGTAAAATTTAATAAATAAGAATTGTAAATAAAATTTAAAAAAATGCCCGTAGATACGGGGTGTCTTAGATGAAAAAAAATTCGTTCTAAAATCACGTTCCACCATAGGTTGCTCGGAAATGTGCACATTCACTTACGTATATTTTAATTAATTTTTTCTAATTATTTAATTAGCAGTAGTGTCGCGGCTCAACGGCCGCGATATTCACGTGAATGGCTTGGCCATTCTCTTCCGATTTTCCGAGGAAGAGAATGGCCAGGAAAAGCGGCCGTTGAGCCGCGATATTCCCTTCTCTGTCTAAGACAGGGAGTTTTTGCTCCTTTTCTAACATTGTTGTAATAATTTTTATTTTGTAGAGAGCCAACCCAAGCCAAGCCTAGAAGGGAATAAAAGAATAAGGCCAACGATTTCTTATGCTCATTCTTATTTTTATTCTCAACATTGAAATAAATTATTTATTTGTTAAATAAATTTTTTGAATTTAATTGTAAAGTCTTATAGTTAAATCTACTAAGAGGTGATAGGCGTACCCCGGCCCTGGGAAGCCCCTAATATCTCTTCGGGTTTGGGGGCCTAGTCAAACCCGTGCGTAACAGCCTCTAGTCGAAACCCCGTTGTGGGTTTGGGAGTTGGCAAAACCCGTTGAGGTTTTGGGGGAGAGGAAACCCGTTGAGGTTTGTAGGTTTAGTAGAACCCGTTGTGGTTAGAAAGTTAGGAGAGGAAAAAGGCCCGTTGCGGCGCGATTAGGTTGTAGGAGAGAAATCAGTTGAGTAAAGTCCGTTGAGACTTTACAACCCGTTAATTCGGCGGCGTCGGAAATAGGCTGTCAATATCTTGTATTTAGACCGATAATCGTTTATTCTTAATTCTATCAGACTACAACCGAATTATTCTCTAGCAGCATATTGACAACAGTAATTTCAGAGAATCTTAATTTTATTGAATTTGTGGACAATCCGTGGTCTCGACAGCTCGTTTTCGACAGTAGTTTCGGCAAATGGATTTTTCCGCTACCGGTAGAGACAATTAATTTGTAATTTTAATTCTTTTAATCACTTTAAAATTTATCAAAAATTAAAGACTTTTTTAGTAAATATTTATTTCCTTTAACTAATTATGAACATTATACCTAATAGTATTTTAATAAATAGCTTGGAAAATAACATGAATTTCTAAATTTAGTTTATATTTACTAGGGAAAAACTAATTATTCTAATGTAATACCTAAATAGTTAACAACAATTATTCCTAATTAAATAAAAAATATTTTAAAAAGTTCCAAAAGAAATTTCGGAGGATTCAATTCCACATTCATCCACACCTCTAGCAATTTTGAAATATCCATTCATTCCCCAATCATAATTCCATTGGTTGGCACACAACCAATAATCCAAACTTGTTCCGTCTGGATAAGTGTCGGTACCCCAACCAATCATTCTAACGGCATGTCCGCCTACATAAACATCAGAAGTTTGCTAAATTTAATTTATAATTTTAGTAAAAGGCAAATAAAGTCTATCCAAAATTTGCCTGATATACTCCTGAGGAATAATACATAAAATCATCGTAAACATCAAAAGCAGCTACAACAGAACCATTAGCCATTATTTCATTTTGAATGGCTGCTACATTACTTTGAATATAACCTGTTGTCTTAGCTAAATTTAAAAGAATATTTTGTTAATTATCTAAATTAAAGACTAAACTATATTTTTTATCTTGGGTATAAGCAACATTCCAAGCACTAGATGTACACGAAGAGACACAGGACGGGGCAGTGTATTCAGTATTTCCATGTGGAGGGAATGGATATGGCTTACATCCACTATTCCAAGTATAATTTGTCCCAGTAACAAGACCTTTAATTAAAAATCCGATGATATTTGTTAATGAAATTTCTTTATAACAAGAGATTGCAGGTTTGAATCCTTCCTGGTACCCAAATATTTGCCTAACTTTCGCTATTATCTACAAAAGATTTAGATTTGTGTGATTACTATTGATAATTAAATCTATCAATGCCAGAGACTTAATGTTTAGTAGGGCAGGGAGGGAGAGTTCCATTCAATAGCTCAGTAAAAATAATTAAAATACCTGAATTCTGTGTATACTTCCATGCATAGTAAGGATCACCTCCACCACATCCAGACATTCCAGGAGTACAACTCATCAACTCTAGCGCCGAGAAGTACACTGATGGATTTGTCTTTAAAGGTGCTGAATTCCCCTTTTTTACTTGACTAATACAATAACGATCAGTTAAAGCAGAGGCAGTGGAGACAGCCCAACAATCTCCACAACTTGATTGGTCCTTTTTGAAGGATTATTTATTTATTAAAAATTTGTAATTAATTACCTGAATCATTCCAACAATTCCAGCACAAGATAGAAATCCTGTACGAACATCAAAAGAAGCTGGAATTGAACGTTTACGGCGTAGATTTGTTTTTTCGGGAGTAGGGACTTGTTTTTTCGGAACTTTCAGTTTTGCCCCAAGCATTACTGAATGCTTCTCCAATTTAGCAAAGCGATGATGTAATTTTGCAATCCATTTTCCTTTATTTTTAGCGTTTGCCTTATCAACTATTTTTTGAGCTTTATCTAACTTTTCTTTTTCAGTCAGATTTGCTGAGGAGGATAAATAATAAATTTGGGCAAAAATAAGGAATAAAAAAATTATTTTCATCATTTCTTATAAGGGTTTGAATTTTATATTTTTATTAATACAATTGGGAATTCTTATCTAAACCCAAAATTTGAATCCTTTTTATATTGAATTGAAGATACACTTTATGTTTGAACAACTTTTAAAAGTTCATTAAAAATATTTGGGATAGTCTCTTAATTTTTTAAAATATTATTGAAATTGGCAAAAATATTTATCATAAAGTTGCACTTTTTGTTATTTAATAATAAATAATTTTGGGGTGAGCATACTTGAAATTTAACTTAAAATAATAATTTATTTAAACCTAAATGCACTTTATAATTAAATCATGTAAATTTTGACAAAAAAATATTTGAAACACCAAACATCTAACTTTTATTTTTTTTAATTATTAAAAGCTAAACAAACAAAATAGGCAAAACTAAAAATTTTATTTTAAAATCTTTAAAAAATAAAAATAGATTAAAAAAAGTTTTTTTAAATAAATCGATGGATGTTCTTGATAAAGTTCTTCTTCATATCAAAATATCCTCAAGAGAAATTTGATTTTTTATAATAATTTTGAATAAAAATATTTTGAATTTACCAAAGAATGTATAATCTTCTACATAGTTATTTTTTTAAAAAGAAATAAGAATTAATTTAATCAAATAAAGGGATTAGCCTATAAAAATAAGTTCAGATTTTACATCTCTACTTTATTTTTTAAAAGAATTCTGTGCAATTTCTCCATGCCTTTTGATGAAGAAGTCATTCTGCTAGTTCTAAGAGACCCCCGTATCTTCGGACATAACCGTCTTTTTAATTTTATTTACAAAATCATTTAAAAAACTATAGTTAATTAATTCTTATTTATTAATTTTACTAAAAAATATTTGGATGACTCATTAAAGTATTTTAAAAAACCGATTTTATCATTTTATTTTTAGTTTTTTTTATTAATGCTGATGATGTTGATGCTTTATGGAATCTTAATTTTTTTCTAAAAAATTCCCAACAATTTCCAATTAGCACACACATAGATTTAATTTGTAAATATTGGATTAATTTTAAAATAATTTAAATAAATGATTCATATTAAATTCTAACAGTAATTGCCAGTTGAAGGACTAAATGTCTGCAAAAGAATCCGTTATTTTGATTACTTTCTTGTATTTTTTGTGTTAGGAGAAGTTTTCCCTTTTCATTATAGTATGATGTCAGTCTAAAGCTGTTTCGAACCAAAAAAATCTGCGAAAATCGAAATTTCGAAACAGCCAGCCTTTGATTCGTGAAATGGAAGAGAAAAAAATAAAATGAAAATATATTTTATCAAAAATTTGGATTAATTAATTTAAACATTTTCGTAAAATTTGCCCCTTTCATTCCTTACAAATATTTCCTCAAAAGTAAAATTCTGTATCTTTTTTTTTCGTCGATCAAATTATTAATATTAAATCAAAAAGAGATAAATTTAATATAAAATATTTGGATGATTCATAAAATATTTAGAGAGTTAATTTTTCAATTTTTTTCTAATAAATTCCCAAACAATTTCTGTTGACCACACACATCTAAATTAATTTATAATTTTTTGGATTTAATTTAAATAAATATGTAAATGATTCATATTTTAACGATAAAAATTAAAATAATTTGATCAGATAACTTTTAATTATTCATTAATTTTTTTTTTAATTTTATACAAAAAGGGCTATTTTATCAGCAATTAACAGCCATTTTAAATTATTTAATTTAAAATTATTTTCATTAAAAAATTAAATTAATCCTTAAATATTTAGAATTTATTAGAAAATCTTTAATTATTTTTTTAATTTTTTTCAGTTTAAATAAATTCAATTGTTAATCAAAAACTAAAATGAACTGCTTTTCTTTAATCTTATCAATTTTAATAATAATTTTGATAAAGATAAAAGGTTTTGATTTTGTGGAAAATAATGTTTTGAAGACTGAAATGTAAAGAAAATAATTTAAAAAAAATTAAAAAATTTTTAAAGAGTCAAGTTGACAACAATGGAAACTGACTCTTTTTCAATCCATTACCACCATCAAGATCATTGTATGCGCAACCCGAATTATGAAAACTTGGCTGTCTATTCCATTAATTTCTATATTAAGGCTGGATATTTTTGTGATGGGTAATATATAAATATATTAATTTAAAATTAAATTAAAAATAAAATCAGTTTGTTAATTTGTTATCCCGGACAGTTGGATGGAAGGTTTAAAAAACGTGGTCTCGTCACTAATAATGATTACAGAGTTAAGAACACAAATAAAGTAAAAATTTAAATATTTAATTGAAATGGAACCCCTCATCCACCTTTAACATTGGCTTATATCGGTCCTGAAAGGGGAATGTTTTAGCATGATTTCCCCTGTTCATATATAACTTTTCCCGCTAACTTCGAGAATGATGTGTTTATAAAAGTCCGACAATATTTATAAAATTAAGAACAATGTGGGCTATATGTGTGAAAATAAAAGAAAGGAATATTGTAATAGCGGAAAAGGAATTGACAGCCTTTGCAAGTTGGCATCGGATATTCCATCATCCTTTGTCCCTTGGCATGGAATTTACATCCACCGAACTGCTGAGGATGGCAACAAAACGAAGATGGTTTCCTCAATCTTCGACATGAAGTGATAACTTTTATCTAATTAACTAGAGAGAGGAAAATACATAAATTTGAGGGAATAACTCTAGTATTTCCCTATATTGACCCCCTAGTTTTCTTTGACCTTACAACTAAATTTTTACAAATAATTTAAAGTTATAATATCGGATCGGAAGAGCAATTTTCAATCACAATTGGTGAAAAAGAATTCACCACGAGGCTTATTGTTATTGAAAAAGGTAGAGAAATGATATTCAAAGTAAATAAAAAATATTTAAATTTCAAGAAGGGCTGGCTATGAATAGATATAGTGTGGATGTGGAGCATAAAAGGAAGTTTTTTGAAGAAATGAAGTGGGCCCCCTTCAATGTCTCTCGATTATTCTCGGCTCATTCAACATTTTGGATGTTGGGATATGATATATTGTCCAAAGAAATGGACAACATTCTCAGCTTTTATGTTGATAGAGGATGTAATTGTCCAATGAAAGTTTGGGTATGGAGGGGGAGGGGAAGGGGATTAGTAAACATTATAATTTTTTAGTTCACGAGAGAAGAGAAAATAAGCCGAAAAAGTAAAGAAATGTTAAATAAATGGTTTGAAGTTACTGAATTTGGAAATTCAAAATGCCCCAAAATCCGCACAGAAGAGACTTATAATTTAATTGGGAATATTGAAATTGAAATTAATTTTAAAATATTTATTAACAATTTAAATGCAACGGCAACATTCAAACTTTACAATAATGAAAGAAATATTGGAATTTATGTTTATGAAGACAGAATTGTTTTCGAGAAAAATGTAAGGGTTTTATGTAAATATACAGTACATGACCTAATAGAAGCCCCGTGCCTTTTCTTCAATGGGTGTCAATGAGAGTTAACCACAAGGCTTAATGTTTGGTAGGGAGGGGGAAGGGGTTTTGGTATGGGCTTCTTTTAGGACATTTACGGAAATTCTCAAAATAAAAAATTAAATTTAGGATGTAAACGGAGACTGGTCCCAATCAAAAATAGACATTTTGCCGAACAAAAATATTATGAAAGAAGGAATGACCCTCAATATAATAATAAAGATGTTTAAATTTTATTGTGAATTTACTATTGGAAATGAAACAAGAACATTTACAAATAAATTTTGGTATAGTAAATGGTGGTATGGAAAAAAATATTTAACATATAAAAAGTTGGAAGTGGTTGGAGACTTTATTCGGGTAAATGCAATTACTGAAACAGAAAATGAGGTGGTTTTAAAATTAATTTTTAAAAGAGGAAATTGGGTTTTGAATATATATGATCTTGATTAGTTGCTCGAATTCGTTTCGGTTGCTAACAAAAATGATCAGCTTTAATATTAACACTGCTGTTTGATATATTAAATCCTGGATATTATTCTGTTATCCAGAGAAATTTAGGCTATTAAGAGTTAGAGTGTTTCATTACAAGTTTTAAAAATACAAAAAAAAAATAAATTTTTTAAATAAAAATTAATTATAGAAAATTCAAAACATTCCATTGCCCCACTCCACCCGAATATTTAACAATTTTATGACTAATGGATCAATCGCCACAATAAGAGTTGAAATTAATAAAAATGCCGCAACTTTCCAACTTTTACTTTTGCATGATTCTCCTGAATTTAATTTGAATAGTTTTTAAATTTTAATTAATTTTGTTTATATTTATTTTTAATTGTAGTTGGGGCTACAGTTTTGTCAATTTATGTTGATTATAATAATAATATTATTAATTTGACGTCGTTTGCTGTAAGTTGTTTAATAAAACTGCCCAAAACTCCATAGCCTTAGAATTAGAGACCTGTCATGTGTAGTGTGTAGTTCTGAGCAATTCTGAGTAAAATTCTGAGTAATTCTTCATAGTTCTGAGTAAAATCGGCAAATAGATTTTAAATACAGGCCCGTAGTAACAATAAGTTTCTGAACTTTACTAGTCAGGGGATTTAAAGGATTTGTAGGGATAACGGGGATTTGAAGAAATAGGATACATAGCACAGAGAAGTGCTACTTATAGTATGCAGAATACTAGTTTTGAGTTATGAAAAAACAAATTTATTTAAAGTATTATTCAAACTAATTAATACTAATTATTTAAAATAAAGGAAAACAAGTACCATAATAATGCAACAATACAAGGAGCTAATATATATTCAAAAGGCAAACCAATCCAAATTACAATTAAAATGCAAAATATAGTTAAAGAGTCAAAAAACATTGAATTTTACAATATTTATATAAACGGCAAAGAATGCCACAGCTATATAGGAGGATTTCCTTTTTGGTCAACAAATTGGATACAGGTAAAAATATATTTATTTTCATGGTTCACATTATGGAAACAAAAGATATAAAATAAAGATTTAAAAATTATACTACTAAATGTTTTACCGTATATTTAGGTAAAAGGAGATGCAGTTCTTCTAGAAGAGCCGTTTACCACATCCCCTGTAAGATCATTTTTAATAATTAGAAAATATTTTAATAAATAATTTAAGAAATTGCAATTAAATGATACCGAGAACATCTACAAATATGAACTGGACCAATTGCCTTTTATTGGTTCCACATTCTGTCTTGAGGGTACTTTGCCTAAATCAAGCGATGTAGAAGGAATAGAGAAGCTCGAAATAAATCTGATGCATGAAAGTAATGATGAGTCAAAGAGTTGTAAGTTTTTAAAAATGATAGCCCCAACAATGCCTATTAGAGGGTCAAGACTGTTGTGAAAACAAATAAAATACTTTAGGGAAATTTATAAAACCCCTTTGTTGTGTCCGCACTTGCAGAAAGAATATAAATGAATAAAAATAACCCAGCATTGGGTTGGATGGTGGCACAGTCGGTTGTGCTTCGGTCTGGGCTCATTCCATGATGGTTCAATTCCATCTCCCATCCACAATTTTTCCACAGCATGAACATCGTATACAATACCCTTAGACAATAAGCTTTAATAGATTAAAATAATTTATTTAATAATCAAAATTAATTTTAGTTGGCGATACTTTATTAAAAATGAAATTCCAATTTTCGTCTGAGCATGGAGAATCATGGCTTAAAATATCTAACAGGCCACATGGAAAAGATTATATAAATGAGAAAAAATATGGAAACCCAATTGGCTTGTCGGGTATTGAATTAACTGTTCGGATAAATGTAGAAGAATCTTACTTCAAGATTTACTTCAATGATGGAAAAACTTTTATTAAATATAATTATGTAGCCCCTCCCTGGATGGTTAATTGGATTATGGTACCTAATAAATTTGTAAAAATAATTTCGAATAAAAATTCTTTAAGGTAAAAGGAAATATAGATAATGTTAAATTCGGTAATGATGCAAAAAGATGTTCTAAATATATTTCCAAACAACTTCCGACACACATAACAAAAATTAAAAATTTAAAAGAAGGGAAACATGTATCTGTGAAGGGGAAAGTTACAAAATTGGATGAAAATATTTTAATTAATTTTCATTATGGAGCACTTGGATGGGATGAAAAGAGTAAACTTAAGATTTGATTTTTAATAAAAAATATAATTTCTAAGGAGGAATTGTTGTTTTGCAGGCAAAGATAACAAATCAAAATATTTCCTTTTGTAAGAAATTTGTAAGTTTAATAAATAGTTTATTAAAACCTCTAAAAATATTTTAGAAAAAGAATTATATTTGTGATGGGGTTAAAAATTTACCTCAAAAACTGGAAATTGGTCAGATACTTAATATGGTATTTCTTGCTACAGAAACAAACTTCGAAATTTATTATGATGATCAAGAAATTTATCAATTTGAACTGCCTTTTTGGGCTATTCAATATGTTGAGGTAATTTCTGATTTCTAAGAGTTTGGAAAAAATAACAATTTGAAGGTGACTGGGCCATTAACAAATATTGAGGGTCGGAATAAAATTGCAGAAATTCGAAATTGATAACTTTTACTGATTTTATACTATTCACGGAAAAATGAAAATTTACTGAACAGATGGAAATTCACATTTTATTTGAAAATTCCCCAAAATGAGCAAGATTAATTTCAATAAATAAATATTCATTGATATATTTATAAAATTTTTCCTTTTTAAAATTAAAACTTGACAGAATTTTAGTTATTTTTCGATGTTGACCTTAAAACGTTGAGTAATTCGAGCTATGTATATTGCAGCTACCTTCACCCCATTCCCTCTAAAATGTTCAAAACTAGCTAAAAGTTTGTTTTATCTCCATTCAGAATAGAATAATTCCACAAAAGAATTTATTTGCATAAAATCGGGGCCCGAATTATAATTAATAGAATTGTTTTTGATATAATTTTATTTATATAAATTTGCAAAGTTTCATTGAAAATGTAAAAGCTTTATAGATTTAAACAACCATTAATTATTTTTGACTTGTAAAATTTTTTATTTTTCTAAAATTTTTTTAATTAATAAAATTAGAAATAAGCTTTTAAAAATTCCTATTAATACATATGTATAACCAAACTCAATTACCTCATTGGGTAAAACTTTCTTCATCACTGCATTTATCAGGGGTCTATTCCCGAGTATGTAATATGTATATACATATGTGTAAATTTAGTTTAGAATTAAATACATATAATCAAATTCAATATTTTTTTTTCATTTTCCTTTTTTTTCAAAAAAACTTTTTCATTTTCCCAAATTAAAAATAAAATTTTTTCAAATTAATTAAATGTTTTTAAATGGTTAATATTATACATATTTCTTTAATTATTCTAAATCAGGGCTTCGAGCGAAAAAAATTTGAAATTCAGAAAAAATTATAGGTACATAGTGGAATAAGTACGAATCGAAGCCCTGTTCTAAATTTAATTTATTTAAAAAGTAGACTCTTCAAATTAGATAGAAATTAACAGTTAAATGTTTTATGTTATCCGAATAATAATTATTATTATTATTATACTAAAATTTCAGGTAATAAAGAAAATTAAATAGTAGATATTAATATACTAATACAATATAATGTACTAATACAATTAATATATAATACAATATAATCAGGGTGTCCCTTTCCAAAACACCAAAATAGGGCGAAGCTACTCAAAAATATGGCAAAAATAGGGCGAAATTGGTCAAAAATAGGGCAAAAAATAGGGCATTGTTTTAAACAATTAAGAATACTTAAAATTTTAAAAAGAAAGCTCTATTATGCATATTTTTCAATATTTTAAACTAAATTTTCAATTAAAAATTTCTTTATCATTAAATATCAACTTGTGACTAATCTATTTTATTGGGGATATCCTCTTTAATCCCAGAATACCGTTAATTGAATTACCCTTAAGAAAGCTGAATATAATATATTAATACAATTTATTTAAAATTAATTTAGTTAAATTATTCACAATAATTAGTTATAATTTTAATTTTTAATTATATTGAAATTTTGAAAAATCTTACTATAATCATTTAGGGCAACAAATCACTACGCTGTTGGATAAAAAATGACCCACATGCAGTTGACAATGTAGATAGAATGTTAATTCAGGAATGTGAAGCAAAATGCGTTTCATACTATCATATAATAGGCTATTAATTTTATTTTTTAGCAATTGTAAGGCATTTAAGAACAGCAGTAAAAAACGATTCGACTAGCAGATTCAGAAAGTAGCATTAAATAAAATTTTTCCTTCGATGTAGATTTCTGTTCTACATACATGCAATACTCCCCGCAGCGCACAAACGTATTTTAATAAAATAATTAGTATGGCATTATTAATATAATATATGTAGGTCAAATAGAATAATTTTCAATCGGATAATTTTCGAATACTTTGAATTCGGCCGACTTTCTCAGCAAATATCGAATTATCCGATCCAATTCCAATTATCGAAAAATATTCCCTTTTTAGTGATGAGCTTTTTTGAAAGAGCTATCAAATCTGTGACAAATATATAAAATCGAAATTTTTAAAGTATAATCGAATCAGCTTGGTCCGCCCTATAGTCGAGTCCAAAAAATGAATTGAAAATCAAGCTGGGTTCAGTAGAACAGAATTTGTTTGATTAGAGGATTGGCGTGATTTGCTATGATAGAGCATATTATAGAACGACATAATTTAGCGTTTAACCTTTATGTGATATTTTATAAAGCCGAATATTATTTTAGGTAAAGTCTATGATCCTGCTCTCGGCAGGGCTAATTTTTACGGATACAAACTAGGATGTGGCGACTGCATTCCTATGCATAACAAAAATATTCCATGCATGGCATGTAGTGATGATGCTTGTAATAGATTTTCATTATTAGAAGAAGAAAGCATAATGTGCTGGCATGGAGATAAAGTTCTTACATGTCCTAGGGAAATAACTGGAAGAAGTTGCCATTATGCTGTCATCAAGGAAACTATAGGTTTGTTTTGTTTTTCGATTTAAATGGTTGATATAATGCGCATTATTATAGAACATTCATTTCCACTTTGCTGCGAGTCAGATTTTACTTATATAAATGCTCAGTTAAGAAATTTGATGCCGCTTAATTTCAAAAAAGTATTTTCTAAAAAGGGTTGCGATGTTTTTAAGATTCCTAGAATTAGGGTTCAACATTTACGGTCATTTAACAGTTTTCATGTGGACAGTGGTTGAGGTGGTTTTTGTTACGGGGATGGTGGGTCATCTTAAAGCTGCCCCCTGGGACGGGGAACGGCAAATTAGTATGTTTGTTCTTACAGTTAAACAAGGATGTGGCCGTCCGGACTTGTCAAAAGAAAAAGAAACGGACATACAATTGATTGTATGTATTCATGATAATTTTTGCAATACAAAAGAAGAATTTGAAAGAGTACTTTTTTGCCTGATTAAAGGCGCGGATGAATTAGAACCTAAGAGAAAAATGTGTTATGAATATGTAGGATTGACTGACATAGAACGTGAACCATGTTTTATTAAACGACGTGAGGATGGAAAAGGCATGAAAAAATTTTAGGAAAAATTATTAATAATTATTCTAGTGGAACAAGGTTGTGGAGAGTGGAACAAGGCATGCCCAGATAATAAAGATACCGAATTCTGTAAATATTGCAGAACAAGGAATTGTAATGACGAAAAAATAATACCTAAATATTGTTGGACAAATTATGGAAAAATTAAAGTAAATGGAGATGTTCCTTGTTTTGTGGAAAGAACAAGAAATCATCAAAGTAATTACATCTAACAATAAATATTTAAATTAATTTAAAATTTAAAGTAAATAAAGGAATTGGAAAATGTCCTTCAATAGCGTGTAAAACTTGTTATAAAAATTTATGTAATGATGGGAATGATCTTCCTTTTAGTTATTGTTTTGATGGTGATGGGAAGGGAGTTGTTGGTTGTGGTAAATTGAATTGTTATATTGCTAAAGTTGAGTATTAATTGAATATTAAAGTTCGAACTATGGCCGGGCCCCGATCTAAGACATTAATATTTTTTAAACATAAGAGTTCCCTGGTTTTAACTCTGAAATCCGTCCCGGGTCCTTTAAACCCGACTTGGGCCCAGATAAAAATTCCTTTCATTTTTAGGCTCAAAAGCTGGTTGTGGCACTTGTGATGAAAATAAAATAGAAAATTCTTGTGTTGATTGTAGAGGATTAAATTGTAATATAAAAGATAAACTAAAGGAAAGTGTTTTTTGTTATGAGAGAAAAGAAAATGGAAACGAGAAGGAAGGAGGTAGACCTTGTAAATCGAAATTTTGTTTTATATCTGTGGATGTTAATAAAGGTAATTAAGGAAGGAAGGAAGGTAGAAAGAACGATAGAATTCTTTTTAAAGGTTCTGGAATGTCTGAAGAAACAATTTTTAAAAAATACACTAAACAGGGATGTGGCAAATGTCCTCGTTCTGCAGAAAATAAAATTCCATGCAGAGAATGCAAAACAGATTTATGCAATACAGAAAAGTATTTTCAACAAGTAAAGTTTTGTTGGGTTAGAGATATGGCTGCATGTCCTTTAAATATATGGAATGGATTTTGTTATTATAATGTGAGGAATAAAAGAGGTATTTAAAATTCAAATCGAATATTCGTAGCGGATTTTTTTAGGAGAAGTCTTTTTCTATAAAAAAGATATAGAGGACAGGGCTTTCGCCATAATTTTCGCGTGGATTATGATCCAGGAAGGTCAAAAAATGCCTGGGCCTGGACTCTGGGTACAGGAAAAACCCAGGTTTTGGTCCAGGCCCAGCTCGATCTCTACTGATTACGAATGGATTCACCTGCATTTTTAAAATCGGAAGGCAGAAGTGCCAAAGACAGAACTAATCGCCCACTTCTCATCATCTTGCTTAAAGTTAAAGCATGGCTTCAATAACATTTTTTTCGTGTCCTTGACCTACGACCACATGATTCGAATCATTAGTTGTGCCCCAGTTTTTAAAATTTCAAAAAATAATTATTCGAAATTTAAACAAACAACGGATGGATATTACAAATTATTCAACTTTATTTTTAATTTTTAGTCGAGCGAGGATGTGGGAAAGGACCTAAACTCGAAATAAATGTTTTAAATGTTCATTGTAATGGCCAACTTTGCAATACAAAAGAATTATTTGATAAAACATTTTTTTGTTTAAATAAAGGAAAAGAAGAAAAGTCGTTAGGAGCTATTATTTGTAAAGAAAGAAGTTGTTTAGTTCGTCGACATTTTGATGGAAAATGTAAAAATGAGAATATTTTTTGAATAAAAAAAGAAATTTTTAGTAGAACAAGGATGTGGAAAGTGCCCAAAAAATAAAATAAATTTAAGCAATATACAATGTGCTCAATGCCATAAAAATTCACTTTGTAATACTGATACTTTCTTTGAAAGTCAAATATTTTGTTGGGAGAATAATGCTTTAAATTGGATAAAAAATAAGGGAACGAGGGTTTGTAAAGTTGGTGTTTGCTTTATTGGGGTTGATAAAAATAATATGGGTAAATTTATATATTTATTTGTTTTGAAATTAAGTAGAATCTCAAAATAATTTTGATATACATACATAACAGACATTTTTGTCGTTTGTAAATTGTACAAATATATTCCTCTCTCTACATCAGCCACGAAAGTTCCAACCCTACCACTAAATTTTCACATAACCCTGACTTTAAATAGTCGGAGTTAGATCCTTTTCGGGACAAAAGAATATACATAATTCTCATTTTCATACTTCTATAAAGGATACACAAAATTTTAGATGCAAGTTCATTTTAAATAATAAAATAGAAAAAAAGCATTTCCGTTGCCCACTCGATTTAGTTATTTCGAGAGTTAACTTAACTTCAAAAAATCACACAAATTCATAAAAATAATTTATTTAAAGGCCTTGTTCAAGGGTGTGATAAATGTAAAAGGCAACATAATCTAGCAAAATGCAGTGATTGTTCTTCCACCTCTTTATGTAATACAGAAACAATACTTCCCCCTCCTATAAAATGTTTCCATTTAAATTCAAAATTTCAACAAAATTTAAAAATAAATAAAACATGTCACCATGTTTATGACAGTTGTTATATTGCTAGAGATGTATTTTGGAGAGGTTATCTTTTAATTGTGTCGGGCTAACTCAAGGAACAGACAAATCAAGGAACGACCAACTCAAGGAGGACCAACTCATGGAATATTTTAAAAATCGGAATTTTTTCAAAAATCTGAAAATTAAAAAAAATAAGAATTTAAAACAAATTAGAATGCTTTAAAAACAGAATTAAAAAAATCTAAAAAATTTTGATTTTTCAAAAAATCCCGATTTTTAAAATATTTCATGGGATGGCCATTCCTTGACTTGTCTGTTCCTTGAGTTAGCCCCCATCCTCTTCTAATATTTTTCTTATAAAAATTAATTTAAAAAAAAAAGTTGAACAAAATTGTGGAGAATGCCCTTCAAAATATCAAAAATGTGTTAAATGTAATAATAATTTTTGTAACAAACAATCCCTTTTACCTTTAACAACAACAACAACTATTAAACAAACCCCAAAAACAACAACAAAAACAAGTACAACAACAACATCAACAACAATTATTCCTTCAACTAAAATTTTTATTAAATCCGAGGGGCAAATTAATAAAGTTAAAATAAATGTTTTATTTATTTTTGTGTTTCTTTTAATTTTTAAAATTTTCTGATTATTTCTGATTATTTTATATATAAATGACATTTGCAATAATTAATTATATTTTTTGAATAAAAATTGAAATTTTTTGATTTTTAAATTTTATTATATATAGAAAATAACTCGGTTAATAAATCATTTGGAAATTAATGTAAAAAAGTATTAGATTTAAACAATTAATATTCGAGAAAGTAATTTTAAATATTTAATCATGTTTAATATATTTTAAGCAAAACTTTTTAAATTGAAATTTTTATCCTTTTCGGCAAAGACTAAAAAAGCTAAAATAATGTATGTAAAAATATTTAAAATAATTAAATAATAATTAAATAAAAATCCAAAATTTATTTTGATTTTCTTTATGATTCTTCAATTCACAACTTCATTTATTTACCAATAACTTCAGAAATCTTTTTCAGAAAAATATTTTTCTTCGGCCCATTTTCTTTTAAATCAAGGAGAATTTTTGCTCGAAGTTCGTTAACTGTCTTTTGATAAATATTGCTAAGAAGGAAAACATTAGATTTTTCTAGGATTAATTCTTTTAAGTTTTTATCTAATAAATAGGGATCGGATTTTTAGATTAAAACTCTTAAATAGGTAGCTAAATAGGTTGCATGAAATACCAAGATAGATAACAAAAATAGAAAAATAAGTGGAAAATTGGAGAAATAGGTTGGAAAAAAGTAGAAATTGTGGCAAAAAAGGCAGAAATGTCGAATAATTTTTTTTATTTTTCGTTCAAGAATCCGTTCCATATGTCATAAAATGCGAGACATTCAAAGAAAAGAGTAATTAAAAGCAAAAATTAAGAAATCCTTTTGTGAAACAAACTGCTGTGTCATGAACTTCCTCCATTGAGATAAGTACTCAGATCTGCATTTTAGAACCTATGGTCCGGTATTGTGCATGTGTCCATAAATCAGGGTGAGTAGAGCTCTCTATTGCCATAAAAATGAGAATACTGATCCAAGTTGGTGAAATTGCAAAAAATTAATCTTTTATCTATTAAAGTTGCCGAAGCGAAATGGTGAGGAAGAAATTAAATGAGGAAGAAGGTCTGACTTTCCTGTACATATTAATAAAGAATAGAATGGTGGAATACAAGAAACTAAAAATTTGGGCTGATTACAGTAAGTACCAAATTATTACTGGAAAAATCATAATCTTACCTAGCTACGAACTTACTTATCAATCATCATTTTATTTAAAGCATTTTGGAAGTCAATACCAAAACCTTCACTGTCCACACCATTCTCATTAGATTTATTCAATTTTACATAAATTCCAATCCCCAAATGTTCAATAAGAGAAGAATTGTAAAACTGATCGCCCTTGTTTGGAATACAAATTAAAGGAACACCGGCATATATTGCCTAGAAATTTATTAATTAAAATGTATATAGTGTATAATAGAGACTGGACTGGAGGATCAAACGAGAATCGGATAAGATATCCCGAGAAATCTCAATTTCAATTATCGAGATTCTTGTTTGAGATCTTGTCTCGATTCGGCAGAAAATACCTCCTTTTTCTAATAAACCTTCAATGTTTAACCAGTCTCCAGGCATTGAAGATGAGTATTCTAATTGAAAGAGATATTCTTATGGTTAATTTTTTAAACAAAAGTTAAGTTATAGTTATATTATAGAAGTGCATCACCAGTAAAATACCTGGAATATTGTATAAAGTAACATCAATTCCAAGATATTGAAGATATGCGGGAATGAATACAGAGGCAAGAACAGCAAAAGTATTTTCAATTCCTAAAGCCTCAAAAACAAGAAAGGGCCAACAATATAATTTGATTCGGCAATTCCAAAAGAATATTTTTGTTTGCTTAACCAGTCATAAACTCCAACCATTTCCTCTCCTATTTTGACTTGCTTGTTTGAAATTATTTCTGTGAAGATTGAAGGGGATATTAAATTTGGCCCTATCGCAAATGAGGTGCGTAATCATGTTTTTTCTCCTGCCTTCCTCAAGTTAAAAATAGGGTATCACGACTTTTGCGCCGAGAACATTTGCGCCGCGACTTTTGCGCCGCGACTTATGCGCCGGGCGACTTGTGCGCCGCGACATTTGCGCCGCCATAATTTAAAAAAAATATTATCTACAGTCGGACCTAATTATAGTCTACTCCTTAAAAAATGGTATCCAGGAGCTGAAGGAATTTCAGTAAGTACAATATTTCGGGAAGTACAACAGCCCCCTCTAATAAACCGAACCCTAGAGGAACGTTGAAAAATAAACCGATCCCCTAGAGGGGTCATCTTCAAAGAAGTTGACTTTTCAAATCAGAATATTTGCTCTGCTACCCCTATTCAAGTATGATTTTCTGCCAGAAGAGGGTGCACTATAGTGTAGGGTTGTCGGGTCCAGATATCCGGATCTGAAAAAGGCCGGATAGCCGAAAATTTTAGGTTGGATATCGGAGCTATAGTAAGGTCCGGCTGTAGTTTTTCATAATTACCAATGATAGTGGCGGCGCAAAAGTCGCCCGGCGCAAAAGTCGCGGCGCATAAGTCGCGGCGCAAATGTTCTCGGCGCAAAAGTCACGGAACCAAAAATAGGGAACTTTTTCTTTAGTTTTTAATGTATGCTGATTTTGCCGTAAGGAAAAATGATGGAAGAGGATTAATTTTTTACATTTTGTTTTTTGTTCATGTTTTGACTGACCGTGTTTTCATAGTCAATGTGAAAGTCATAGTCAATGTGAAGTGTTAGTCAATGTGAAGTGTTTTCATAGTCAATGTGTCTTTTTCTATTATATTTTTGTCCAACTTATTTTCACTTATCGGAACATTAATAATTAAATTAACATTCTTCGGGTTTACAGGATGTCCACCTACACTTCGTGTATAAACTACTACATCCTGTAAATGAAATAATGATTGATAAAGCTAGAAATACTTAATAAAATACTTAATAATATTTTTAAATAAATTATTATTTCGTTAAAATTATTAGTTAACGCTTCGGGAAATGTATATATATTTTGACATAAATCAGTTTTCTCTTCATTAAAATAGCCAAGATTCCGGCCCCAAAACAGGAAATATACTTAATAAATTTTCAACTGAGTGATGTTTACCATTCGATTATTTAAGAGAAACTGGTTGTTATGGATTTATTTGGACAGATTTTTTAATAAAAATTAGAGTATTTACCATTTCATATTCTTCAGACAAAATATTGGCCAATACTTCCTGGAAATTCAATTAATAATTTAAGTAGTTAAAGATTCTATGTTTAACAGAAACTTTTAATTAATAGTCAATTAATTAGTGTTTTAAGAATTACATTTAATTTTGCATGTGAATAGAAAAAGTTGTCACAAATATAGAGCCCCCTTTTCTTTTCTTTTTCCGTCAAATTTAATTTTTCAAAATTTTTTATCAATTGGCTGACAGAAATTTCTTCTTTCTTTATTCTTTTTTTTTTATCACTCAAAGATAATTTTTCAAAATTTTTGATTAATTGGTCTACTAGAACTTGCTTCTTCTTCACAATCATTTTCTGTGTTTAAACCTCTTTTGTGTCTACGGAGGGAAATTTTGTTAGAAATTTTATTTTCCTTCCCATTTTTCGAATTTTTACAACTTTTGTTAGGTTGTGAAATATTCACAAAAATTAAAATGAAAATAATTAAGAGAATTAATTTAAACATTTTCTCTTAAATGTTAAAAAATTATTTTACTTATATAATAGAAAAACTTGTGAAAAGAGCTGTTTTGAACAAAAAATCCCTTCGAAAATCGGAAAAAATTGTAAAATTAATTGCAATTGTTTTGTGAGTATGTTAGGATTCCATTAGAAATTAAAAAAGCCCGGGATCAGGAAATGGTATGAGGGAAAATAGGGAGGGATC